CATACTTGTCTATCTCGATAGATACATATATAATGAAACAGACAGATAGACAGGCAAGGCAGTTAGCTATGAAGACACGCACACATTCGCACAGACACATACACACACACACACACATATATATATATATAGGTAAGAAAAGAATACGAGCAAACATAGATAGAGATGAACAGAGATAGATAGATACAAGCATATATATATATATATATATATATATATATATATATATATATATATAGAGAGAGAGAGAGAGTGATAGATAGATAGATAGATAGATAGATAGATAGATAGATAGATAGATAGAAGAGCAGACTGAGACAGATAGATAGTTACGTATAAACATAGATAGTTAGATAGATATGAACGGACTGGACTATTGTCCTCATCTTTGTCGCCATATTTTTTTACAACGTTTCGGTTCTTGTACGTTCCGGTCTTCTTCAGGTGGTTGGAATGTCGAACTTAACCCTTTATTTCGCTCACTGGGGTAGACTGTTCTAGTTCCACGTGCCATGTTTAATGTATGTCAATTGTCAGTTATCTCCTGTTAATTTCCCTCTGAAAGTTCTCCACTGCCTCAACTGGGTATTGATCTCATACTCTTTGGGTCCTGTCACTGGATCTAACCAAGGCCTTTATCCACTGTGCCATGTGTCCTTGAAGAAGGCCAGAGCGTACAACGGCCAAAACGTAGTAATAAATATGGCGACAAAGACGAGGACAATAGTCTGAATAATGTAAATAGTGTACATAATACCTCATCTCAGAAATATAAACAGATACTGAAAGGCCGAAATGTTGTAATAAATATGGCGACAAAGATGAGGAAAATAGTCCGAATAATGTAAATAATGTACATAATAACTCATCTCAGAAATATAGACAGATACTGAAAAGGCCGAAACGTTGTAATAAATATGCCGACAAAGATGAGAGCAATAGTCCGAATAATATAAATAATGTACATAATACCTCATCTCAGAATTATAGACAGAACAGACTATGATAGATAGATAGTTACGAGAAGACACTGGCAGATAGATATGAGTAGAGATAGATAGATATGAGCAGATTGAGATAGTTACGAGAAGATACAGTCAGATAGATGGTCGGGTACTTGTTTCCGAACACACCGTATATTAGGGCGGCTATTTCTGTCAGCCCAGCTTGAGGAAAAATAGACAAATCTGCTCAGTTTCATATTCTAACATAAACAAAGCAATTCCTAAAAAAAGAGGTGGATTTTTCTTTTATTGATCCTACAGATTTTATTACTTAAACGTTTTGCTTGAACATCAACGCATTCCATGTTGGAGATGTCTAAGGAAGGTCACATCTAATACCAGTTCGGATTCTTCCGCAGAGCGCAGATTTTTCCTTAAAATGATTTTTCGAATATTCAGGCCGTTAGACGAAAATACCGTATTTCATGGCATATAAGCCGATTTTTTTTTGTTTTTTACTAAAAATATCTTTTAAAATTCCACTGCGTCTTATATGCCATATGTTGGTTTAAAATTCGCGATAGTCGGCCGAAATTAGCTACCTGGCAACCCCTATTATCTTAAACTTTAGAGTAACTTTTATATACCTATTGTCATTATTTAAAAGGCAGGTTAAAAGTGTTATCATTGATAATATTCATTACTAGCAGTAGAGCCCGGCGTTGCCCGGGGATGTAACAGTAAGAGACAGATCAAGTATCGACCATCATAAAGACTGAAAAATAAAATTGACAAAGATTATTGTTTAAGGTTGACAGACACGCATGTCTTAATTAGTTTTTTTTTTTTTTTTACGAATTGGTCAAACCCAAACTCAAACAAAAACATTGTTTTCAATCGTTATGAGTCTACCGATTGAATAGAATTTTATTATAAACAATTATCTTGTAAATGGAATTTTTAAAGCATTCTGAATATAAAAATAAAAAAAAAAAAAAGACAAGACAATAAGAAACACTATCTGCCAAAAAAAAGTGAAGTTTTGTTGAAATCGGTTGAAAAATGTAGGAAATCCGATCCCATATATAAACGAACACAGACACACACACAAAACAACCTGGATTTTATAATAAGTATAACTCGATATGAGTTGTCCCCCTTTCATTCTCGCGATGCCTCTTAATCGTGTTTTCAAATTGATTTCGTGCAAAAACAATTGTGTTTTTCCAATTTTCGGCGCTGTCAGAACCACCGCAAGGTAATTTTACGTAGTACTGTGAAGTTATGTTGAAATCGGTTGAAAAATGTTGGAAATCCGATCCAATATATAAACGTATAGACACACACAACCTGGGTTTTATAATAAATATGATACCGATTTCATCACTTTTCACATTCACTTACGTGCTAATACCCTTAGGAAAGGTATGAATCCTCTTCTTCTCCTTCCCCTCAGCTATGGATAAATAACAGGACAGGCCAGGTTCTATAGACTTGGATAGCAACTGGTCTATCGCAGAAAGAAATGGCAACCTACTGCGGGCAAAAATCTGCCTCAGTCGTCATGTATCGATACATGATCGCCTAAGCGTGTATCACTCATGGCACGTAACTGACTGACTTTGTTTTACTAAAATGATACGGAAGATGGCGCATTATTTAACGACGATGATAGTAATATTGAAAATGATTACCAGGAGTTTGATAACAAAGACAACGAATTTTATGGATTTGGAAATGAATAAAATTTTAATGGTAACTGTACTGTTTTGCTCAATTGTAATAATTGCTTGATTTTTATTTTGTTTTCTTACCTTTGGATATAATAAAAGTTTTTACAATCTTGTGTTCTTTTTTTCTATTATTTTTTGCTTAATTATAATCATGGCTTGTTTAACCAAAATAATACGTCATAAATATAGCCTAAGCTGTATCATTTACTAATAATTTTGCTAATTACGAATTTTTTTCTTGATTTAGCCTGCTGAAATTGGGATGTGGCACATAAACCCATGCGTCTTATATGCCGTCCAATACGGTAAATAGATATACTGTTTAATAAATAAACGGAGCGTCTACTCAAATACGAGTATCCACTAAAAATAATGTTTAAGTAATAAAATCTGTCGGATCTCTATCTATAAAAGGCAGGATGTGTGTGTGTGTGTGTGTGTGTGTGTGTGTGTGTGTGTGTGTGTGTGTGTGTGTGTAACGAATGCACGGGCGCAATTTTTGACGGATTTGCACCAAAATTTACATGCACATGCTCCAAGTTAGCGGGAAGGCCAAGACCGACATTGCATTTCCAAACTCCCATCGATAGTAGAAATAATCGATTTTTTCATGCTTCTACGGCAGTTTTCATGTAGTTCGCGGCCATTTTGTACTGGCCAGAGTGAGAGCCTATAGCTGGCTGCCACGAATAGGCAGGAAGATTCTATTGGCCAGCGTGAGAGCCAACAGCTGACTGACACGAATGTTAACTAGCATGATAGCATGCAAAAAAAAAAAAATCGATAGCTGCATTCGTCACAAGTGGGAAAAATTTAAATCTGCATGACACTTTACTCCAATTGGCTCATTCGCTTGCTTAAACTCAACGTTGATTCTGATTGCGCAGAACTGGGTTGGGTGTGAAAAAGTATTTTTTATTAACATTCTTTTTTCATTCGGTTTTTCCAGTTACGAGTCTTTTTTTAAAGCTGATCGTTTTGTGTTCATTTTGTTTAGTTCTTTTTTCGTAACAGATTTAATGTTTAGTATAGAGCTTAGAAAAAATTTGCAGTTTGAGATAGGCAAGAAGTAAGGTATACAGCAACATCAGCACGGCAAAGGGCACTCCTTTAAAGGCAAGGAAGGGCAAAATATTTTAAGTCAAGTGATAGCGATTGCTGTATGAGTCGTACGATTTTTGAATCAAGCACGGGCAACGCCGGGCCATGTTGCTAGTTAATATATAAAAAATTCCATCTATTTCTTTATATATTGTCGACTTCACGAGTTTAAAAATTATGTGAAACAGAAAAAAAAAACATGAAAAAAACAACAAACAAAAAACACGAAGCATGAAAAACCAAAAGCAGAAAAAAAAAGTTTTGATTGATTTCTTTTTTACAGTATATCAACCTTTTGAGGGTTATTGGTTATTTAAAGCTGAAATATATTTTGGATTGTAAGAATAATTCCATTACTGGGGAGGAATTGGATTCATGCCTTTTCCAAGGGTATTTTGCGTGTAAGTAAATATAACGATTTCAACTGGAATTCGAACTCGGCTTTCCGATTTCGAGACCATTCAAAGTATAGGATCAATATTAAAATGGAAAATGGTTTTGATGAATAAGGTATGTGATAGGAATGAAAGAGGAGGTGGAAAGAAGAGATTATGAGGATAAGGAGGATGGATAATGAATATCCCTTGACTTGAAGAGATTAACAGTTCATTGTTCCGGGAAGTATCACCGCAGGAGTCTGTTGCACAAAGTATCAGTTCTTCGTGAAAATTGCATGAGTGAAACCTTCTTCTTAGATTTGTAATATGATTGGGGCTGGGGAAATGAAGATGATTCATTTCCGTGGAAGTCATATAAAAAAAGACGTATTTAAAGATACATAAGTGAAAAAAAATCGGTTGCATTTCGTAAAGAAATATAATCTGCATAAAACGCGGTTCCAACCAGGTTCGAGATTTATTTATACCGATTTAATTATTGACGTCGGATAGAGACGTATGTTAAAGCGCTGAAGAATTCTAACGATACATGTACTGATTGTTTGCAGACAGTTCTTTCATCTTCTTTTTTTTTTTTTTGGCTGGCCTGGCGAGAGCTACCAGCCGCTATTGAATTTGAATTTCTTATTTATATTATACGTGCAGACCGAGGTGTAACCAAGGCTCGCATTGAAATTTGGTTGAGAGACTGGTAAACTTGTGTTTCTTAAAACAGTTTAGGCTTTAAAGGCTTACAGGGTGAGACAGAGGAGACGGACGTTTTTGAAATGGCTATTATTCAGCCTCAGGGGGAGGGTCATATGTCCCAAGGGTACCATTCCATC